GACTGTCACAGACTGTGTACTTGAATCAGAGACTGTCACAGACTGTGTACTTGAATCAGAGACTGTCACAGACTTTGTACTTGAATCAGAGACTGTCACAGACTGTGTACTTGAATCAGAGACTGTCACAGACTGTGTACTTGAATCAGAGACTGTCACAGACTGTGTACTTGAATCAGAGACAGTCACAGACTGTGTACTTGAATCAGAGACTGTCACAGACTGTGTACTTGAATCAGAGACTGTCACAGACTTTGTACTTGAAGGAGACACTGTCACAGACTATGTACTTGAATCAGAGACTGTCACAGACAGTGTACTTGAATCAGAGACTGTCACAGACTGTGTACTTGAATCAGAGACTGTCACAGACTGTGTACTTGAATCAGAGACTGTCACAGACTGTGTACTTGAATCAGAGACTGTCACAGACTGTGTACTTGAATCAGAGACTGTCACAGACTGTGTACTTGAATCAGAGACTGTCACAGACTTTGTACTTGAATCAGAGACTGTCACAGACTGTGTACTTGAATCAGAGACTGTCACAGACTGTGTACTTGAATCAGAGACTGTCACAGGCTGTGTACTTGAATCAGAGACAGTCACAGACTGTGTACTTGAATCAGAGACTGTCACAGACTGTGTACTTGAATCAGAGACTGTCACAGACTTTGTACTTGAAGGAGACACTGTCACAGACTATGTACTTGAATCAGAGACTGTCACAGACTGTGTACTTGAATCAGAGACTGTCACAGACTGTGTACTTGAATCATAGACTGTCACAGGCTATGTACTTGAATCAGACACTGTCACAGACTATGTATTTAAATCAGAGACTGTCACAGACTTTGTACTTGAATCAGAGACTGTCACAGACTGTGTACTTGAATCAGAGACTGTCACAGACTGTGTACTTGAATCAGAGACTGGTATATCTGAAGTAAACACATACACGTTCACTCTCTGATCCCATATCTGAAGTAAACACATACACGTTCACTCTCTGATCCCATACCAGAAGTAAACACATACATGTTCACTCTCTGATCCCATATCTGAAGTAAACACATACATGTTCTCTCTCTGCTCCCATACCTGAAGTAAACACATACACGTTCACTCTCTAATCCTATACCAGAAGTAAACACATACACGTTCACTCTCTAATCCTATACCAGAAGTAAACACATACACGTTCACTCTCTGACCCCATACCAGAAGTAAACACATACACGTTCACTCTCTGATCCAATGCCTGATCAAAGTAAACACATACACGTTCACTCTCTAATCCCATATCTGAAGTAAACACATACACGTTCACTCTCTGACCCCATACCAAAATTAAACACATACATGTTCACTCTCTGATCCAATGCCTGATCAAAGTTAACACATACACGTTCACTCTCTAATCCCATACCTGAAGTAAACACATACACCTTCACTCTCTGATCCCATACCAGAAGTAAACACATACATGTTCACTCTCTAATCCTATACCAGAAGTAAACACATACACGTTCACCCTCTGATCCAATGCCTGATCAAAGTAAACACATACACGTTCACTCTCTAATCCCATACCAGAAGTAAACACATACACGTTCACTCTCTAATCCCATACCTGAAGTAAACACATACATGTTCACTCTCTGACCCCATACCTGAAGTAAACACATACACGTTCACTCTCTGACCCCATACCAGAAGTAAACACATACACGTTCACTCTCTGACCCCATACCAGAAGTAAACACATACACGTTCACCCTCTGATCCAATGCCTGATCAAAGTAAACACATACACGTTCACTCTCTGCTCCCATACCTGAAGTAAACACATACACGTTCACTCTCTGACCCCATACCTGAAGTAAACACATACACGTTCACTCTCTGACCCCATACCTGAAGTAAACACATACACGTTCACTCTCTGACCCCATACCAGAAGTAAACACATACACGTTCACTCTCTGACCCCATACCTGAAGTAAACACATACACGTTCACTCTCTGACCCCATACCTGAAGTAAACACATACACGTTCACTCTCTGACCCCATACCTGAAGTAAACACATACACGTTCACTCTCTGACCCCATACCAGAAGTAAACACATACACGTTCACTCTCTGACCCCATACCAGAAGTAAACACATACATGTTCACTCTCTGATCCAATGCCTGATCAAAGTAAACACATACATGTTCACGCTCTAATCCCATACCAGAAGTAAACACATACACGTTCACTCTCTGATCCCATATCTGAAGTAAACACATACACGTTCACTCTCTGATTGAATCAGAGACTGTCACAGTCTGTGTACTTGAATCAGAGACTGTCACAGTCTGTGTACTTGAATCAGAGACTGTCACAGACTGTGTACTTGAATCAGAGACTGTCACAGACTGTGTACTTGAATTGCAGCATTAAACCAAACTCACTCAATCACTCAAAATGGCACCAATCAATATTTCGTTGTTGTCATATTATTTCCAGTATACAGTGTGATCAAATTGTATGATGATATGTGCAAGAGTATCATACTGAACATTGTCTCAGGCCTTGTGGCGTGTGGACCAAGATGCCAAGACATTACAAGTCATGATCAAGGCGTCCCCTAATGACGGCCTCAGCAGATGACGGCAATCCGTTGTCTGGTGTACAGCTCAAGGGATTCCTCCAATGTCATTCACTGGTACAGTTAGAACTTATAATTGGAAACAGCATTTGTGAGGATCACTTTCTTCAAATTGAACTCTTCTCTCAGACTTAGCAGCTTACTACTTGTATGTGATGAGACAGTTGCTAAGTGTGCAGGTGTTCCTAAGTCCCTTGCTGACACTGGTAACATAAGGAGCTGGTATTTCACACATGAAAGAACCACATTGATCAGAGAGTGAACGTGTATGTGTTTACTTCTGGTATGGGATCAGAGAGTGAACGTGTATGTGTTTACTTCAGATATGGGATCAGAGAGTGAACGTGTATGTGTTTACTTTGATCAGGCATTGGATCAGAGAGTGAACGTGTATGTGTTTACTTCTGGTATGGGGTCAGAGAGTGAACGTGTATGTGTTTACTTCTGGTATAGGATTAGAGAGTGAACATGTATGTGTTTACTTCTGGTATGGGATCAGAGAGTGAACGTGTATGTGTTTACTTCAGGTATGGGATCAGAGAGTGAACGTGTATGTGTTTACTTCAGGTATGGGATCAGAGAGTGAACGTGTATGTGTTTACTTCTGGTATGGGATCAGAGAGTGAACATGTATGTGTTTACTTATGGACAAGTGTCATAGCCAGGTTATGGATATGTGTCATAGCCGGGTTATGGACAAGTGTCATAGCCGGGTTATGGATAAGTGTCAGAGCCGGGTTATGGATAAGTGTCAGAGCCGGGTTATGGATAAGTGTCATAGCGGGGTTATGGATAAGTGTCATAGCCAGGTTATGGATATGTGTCAGAGCCAGGTTATGGACAAGTGTCAGAACCAGGTTATGGATAAGTGTCAGAACCAGGTTATGGATAAGTGTCATAGCCGGGTTATGGATAAGTGTCAGAACCAGGTTATGGATAAGTGTCAGATCCAGGTCATGGACAAGTGTCATAGCCAGGTTATGGACAAGTGTCATAGCCGGGTTATGGATATGTGTCATAGCCGGGTTATGGACAAGTGTCACAGCCGGGTTATGGATAAGTGTCAGAGCCAGGTTATGGACAAGTGTCATAGCCAGGTTATGGATATGTGTCATAGCCGGGTTATGGACAAGTGTCATAGCCAGGTTATGGATAAGTGTCAGAGCCGGGTTATGGATAAGTGTCAGAGCCGGGTTATGGATAAGTGTCATAGCCGGGTTATGGATAAGTGTCATAGCCAGGTTATGGATATGTGTCAGAGCCAGGTTATGGACAAGTGTCATAGCCAGGTTATGGATAAGTGTCATAGCCAGGTTATGGATATGTGTCATAGTCGGGTTATGGACAAGTGTCATAGCCGGGTTATGGATATGTGTCAGAGCCAGGTTATGGACAAGTGTCATAGACAGGTTATGGATATGTGTCATAGCCGGGTTATGGACAAGTGTCATAGCCGGGTTATGGATAAGTGTCAGAGCCGGGTTATGGATAAGTGTCAGAGCCGGGTTATGGATAAGTGTCAGAGCCGGGTTATGGATAAGTGTCAGAGCCGGGTTATGGACAAGTGTCATAGCCGGGTTATGGACAAGTGTCATAGCCGGGTTATGGATATGTGTCATAGCCGGGTTAAGGATATGTGTCAGAGCCAGGTCATGGACAAGTGTCATAGCCAGGTTATGGACAAGTGTCATAGCCAGGTTATGGACAAGTGTCATAGCCGGGTTATGGATAAGTGTCAGAGCCAGGTTATGGACAAGTGTCATAGCCAGGTTATGGACAAGTGTCATAGCCAGGTTATGGATATGTGTCAGAACCAGGTTATGGACAAGTGTCAGAACCAGGTTATGGATAAGTGTCACAGCCAGGTCATGGATAAGTGTCAGAGCCAGTCATGGATGAGTATCAGAGCCAGGTTATGGACAAGTGTCATAGCCAGGTTATGGATAAGTGTCACAGCCAGGTCATGGATAAGTGTCAGAGCCAGTCATGGATGAGTATCAGAGCCAGGTTATGGACAAGTGTCATAGCCAGGTTATGGATAAGTGTCACAGCCAGGTCATGGATAAGTGTCAGAGCCAGTCATGGATGAGTATCAGTGCTTCGTCATGGATAAGTGTCACAGCCAGGTCATGGATAAGTGTCAGAGCCGTGTAATGGATAAGTGTCACAGCCAGGTTATGGATAAGTGTCATAGCCAGGTTATATATAAGTGTCATAGCCAGGTTATGGATAAGTGTCAGAGCCAGGCTGGGAATAAGAGTTAATTCATGTAGTCCATTGACTTCATCTTCTCTATTTATAACTGAATAACGAATGACAACAAACATCTATCGGTGACATACCCTGAAAGCTAGTTCCAAGTTCTCTCCACCCCAGATGTCCAGTCCCTCGTCGTAGGAGCCGATCTTGAAGAAGTATTCCCGGTTGATGGCAAACAGTCCCCCACTGATGGTCGGGGTTCTGGAACAAGACGTGTTTAATGCTGATAAACTACAGTGAGGCTGAGTGGAACCTTGTTATTCCTGGAACCACAGCTTATAGACCGGTACTGTTGGGATCCTATCTCTTACTTTGACAATAACATGCAGGGAATTATAGATTAGCTCTCTCAAGCAAGAGACTTGCCACACACAGTAAACCTCAATCATGCCTCTTTTTATGACGTCGAACTGGCAAAACCACCAATCATTTTTATTCACAACATGCTCCCATGTTTATGGATTACTAATTAATTACGTCCTTCGGAAATGATGACATCTGTATCTGCAAACTATATTCCAGCTTTATCACAGAGGCCTCAAGATAATTGGGTCTAGGACAGACGAACCAGTGGTTAATATACTGAGCAAAGTTCTCACTATTGGGGTATGATGACACAGTCAACCAGGTCATTGAGTATACTTTTTATTAATTACTTCTGAATAACAGCACTATGCAGCACTATGCAGCACTATGCAGCACTATGCAGCACTATGCAGAGGTGTGGGATGACCAAGGGTAAATGGTCTGGCTCACAGACAACCCAGGTTCAATTCCCACATGGGCACCATGTGTGAAGCCCACGCACGCATTCATGCATGCGCCCACACACTAACTTATACACGCACTCACCCATGCATGTGTAAGAGTGAATATTATCCTACACTATTTTTTTATCCCGGGGTTGAAATTGAATTTGAATTTGAACCCATACCAGTGTGGCACTAAAGTAGGATACTATAATCTAGAGTAAAAACTTCCCCGGGGATAATATTTAGATAGGATATAATCCTTGCTTACACATTGCACATGCACACAAGTACATTTCTTAAGGAGAGACAATGTCTCACAATGTGCCCAAATAAAGCAAACATCACATAAGCTAGGCCTACCACAACACTTCATTGCACTTTAGTAGGCGCACTCATGTACACCTGTCAAAACTAAAAGTTCATATTTTGTAAAGGTAGTCAAGTTATCATGAATACTGACTTAAATATTCACCAAGAATAGATTATTAAAGATGAACCAAACCTGATTGGCTGAGCTGGCGATGACCTTGAGTCCATAACCTTGGGAGGTATTCCCTTCCAGATGAACTCCATCCTCCATGTGAAGCCTCCATGGAGATTGTCCGGTGCAGGGACATAGTCAAAGCTGTCAGCTCGGATAGCATCAACATAGGGGCTCACAACCTGAAAGTCAAATAATCACTCTATAAGCTATACAAACATGTGATACTGATAGCTGCCTAATGTGTGCTGACATTAGAACTCCATCCATCAGAGGTCTGCTGTTCCTGATGCTTGGGGTAGGATTACTCACTACAATAACACCTTGTTAATCTGGACCCTGTTCAAATACACTTTTGAAGGTAGTGACTGTAAGCATGTGTTTAGTGTTGGCAGTTTGGCCACTGAAGGTCAAAGATCATTTTGTGAAATTTGGCCATGGGCTGAGACTTTTGTACCTCCAGTGATTAAAGAAAGGCTTTACTATATTTGTAGGACCACGGACCTATATAACAAGCAAAAGGCACAAGTTATACAAGTCCGTGGTAGGACTAAGACAACACTTTTATATATTTTTGGCTTACAGATTCGAAAGACCGAGACTAAAAGCCACAATCAGCAAATAAAATAGAATAAAAGAAATTGAAATCTTTTTCCAATTGCCCATTTTTGATGATAATACAAAATAAAGGGGCACTTATTTAATATCTGGCTTCTTCCTGGCTGTCTAACACTGCCCATAAGGCCTCACTAGCTGCCGTGAGTCCATTTGACCGCTAGCGCAACTGAGCGTGACAAGAGACTGGGCTACTGTCTGTAAGGACAGCATAAATAAACTTTGAGGCAATACCTATACGCATTTCTGAACACTGATGGGTTACCCGTGATCTATGAAGATCTTGATATTACAAAGGGCGCATGTTAATTAATTTCTTCAACCTAAACAAAGAGACAAAAAGGACGGTCGAAGCTCATCGGATGTCGTTATTTCGAAATACCCCTGATGGTTATAGTTTAATAATAAAAAGTTTCCCAACATTGCAGATTTCTGACTGCGTGGATAATACAACAACTGAGATTGATTTGGATCCAATGTCTGTGCATCATAGCTTGATATTTAAGTATGTCATGTCAACAGACCTAGAACAGTTTGGAATTTGTTATCATAATAAGATAAATGTACAGCTTTTTCAGTCAATTTGTAGTGTAACTGAATTTTTAATAAATTGCCTATAACTAAATGCAATTCTGTCTTTTGACTTGGCTAACTGAAACTTATAGTCATTTTACACATTTTTGACTGTTACATATACACACTATAAAATAAGCAATGTTCATGTGAAAATTTTAGTTTGTGTTACAAGTCTAAATAGTGTAAACCAAAACTGACCAATACCAGAGACCATATACCGGTATATGGTCTCTGCCAATACCAAGCAAGTGACTTATCAAAACTTAGTCACAATTACCGATACTTTCATTTTGTTGATCAATGTGATAATACACCCTTATGCTAGCAATAAAAGCAACAAATGCGCTTACGTTTGGCGCAACACAGGTTGTGATCTAGTCCAGATATCTCGGATATCATCTGGGTAACAATAGAAAATGTTTTTTAAACAAGGCAACAAGCAGTCCTGGTGAATTGTCAGAGATTAGTGCCCCTTTAAAGGATACAACTACAAAAATCACACACTACTGAACCTCTGTGGACCCTGAATGAGGCTGTAGGGATGTGCACACACACACACACACACACACACACACACACACACACACACACACACACACACACACACACACACACACACACACACACACACACACACACACACACACACACATCCTTTCTGAGGCATACTATTGATGATAATGTATAAAATCATTTGGTGACAAAAACAGAATAAAATAATGCAAATTGTATCCCAAATGCAACCTCCACAAATTGGTACACAGGATAGACAAAATGGTCCAAAACAGGTCTCTCTGTTATATGTCTGATGCTATTGTCAGGAGAGTGAGCTCTATGACTTGAAATCCCCATGGATGGAGGGGATATCTTGGGCATTAAGCACCCCCCATAGAAGTGTCTGGTCATTCAATGTTCATTAAAGAGTAATTCTATGAAGTTTCAACAAATTGTTAAGGCCAGATTGATTAAATCACACATATATGTATTCCCAATTATTATTCATGTATCAATTAACTTAATTACTAATGTTAATGAATAAATGAATGTTTAAGAAATTGAGAACAATGAAACACAAATGCAATTTTTCTTGAAAGATTTTGACACATTATCATGGCCGATGACAGATGGGAAATTGGCCTGCAATAAACGCTATGGGATTTCTTGATAATGGCCTCTCATCTGTGATAAAATGTACATGTCACTGAAATTGACGAGCAAGGTATTTTATTACATAAATAATTCATCACTGATTGTCTTAGGGCTGCTGTCAGTGACATAACAACAATGGGTTGTGTGGTAGAGGATCTATTAGACCATGTTGACAGAGACATTGTTTGTGCTGGTGATATTCATAGAGTCATTGAGCTAATCTGGGAAAGTTGTGTTGTGGAAAACACAATATGAGAGTTATGCTTGAAAATACAGTATCCATAAACAATTTCACCGTTTTTAAAGAGCCTTAAAGTGAAATGCTACTTCAATTTAATCTGTTCTATAAACATACTACCTTGTACCCAATCTTTTATAACAACTGCCATGTCCCTCAATTCTCTCTTAATTGTAACGTCGATCTTGTCACAACTGGCTACACATATCTAATTATACCCCCGTTTACGAAGTAAATCGGGGGTACATAGCGTTCCGTTCGTCCATCCTTCCGTCCGAGCTTTTGTACGGCTCATAACTTTTTAACCATGCACCCTAGCTTCACCAAACTTGTTACACACATTTACCACAATGAGTACTTGTGCCTTTTGCTAGTTTGAAGATTCTGAATTTTTTAATTTTTGCCGTTTCCATGGAAACATTAAGAAACTTAAACTTTTAGGGTGGGTGTTTTGTACGGCCTATATCTTTTTAACTATGCACCCTAGCTTCACCAAAATTTCTACACACATTAACCACAATGAGTACTTGTGCCTTTTGCTAGTTTGAAGTTTCTGAACTTTTTAATTTTTGCCATTTCCATGGAAACATTAGAAACTTAAACTTTTAGGGTTGGTGTTTTGTATGGCCCATATCTTTTTAACCATGCACCCTAGCTTCACCAAGCTTGTTACACACATTTACCACAATGAGTACTTGTGCCTTTTGCTAGTTTGAAGATTCTGAATTTTTTAATTTTTGCCGTTTCCATGGAAACATTAAGAAACTTAAACTTTTAGGGTGGGTGTTTTGTACGGCCTATACCTTTTTAACTATGCACCCTAGCTTCACCAAAATTTCTACACACATTAACCACGAGTACTTGTGCCTTTTGCTAGTTTGAAGATTCTGAATTTTTTAATTTTTGCTGTTTCCATGGACACATTAAGAAACTTAAACTTTAGGGTGGGTGTTTTGTACGGCCCATATCTTTTTAACTATGCATCCTAGCTTCATCAAGCTTGCTACACACATTTACCACAATGAGTACTTGTGCCTTTTGCTAGTTTGAAGATTCTGAATTTTTTTTATTTTTACCGTTTCAATTGAATCATGGTGAAACATTAATTTTGGGTAGAGTTTTTGTACGATCCATGTTTACAATATTATGTATCCTAGCTTCAGCAAACTTGCTACATTAACCACTATGATTGTTTTTTATCTTTTATAAGATTCTGAAAGTTTTCTCTTTTGCTCTTTTCATAGAAACATGATGGAATTTAGAAATTTTGATGACTGGTTTTGTATAGCTAATATATTTTCCAAAATTGTTTCCACACATGTAGATCATCATAAGTATCTGTGCTTTGTGTCAGTTTGAATTTATAAGTTTGAATTTATGAATTCTTTACCATATCTGTTAAGGCTAGATGGAAATGATTAATTTATTGATTTTCTTATATGATATTGTTCCATTTTTTATGTGTTTTTATATCAACAATTTTTGGTCCTTTTGATAATTCTTCTTATGTAACTCCTCAATCAAATGTTTATTGGTGGGGGGGGGGGGGGGGGGGGGGGGGTGTCAATTGTCACTGGAACTCAATCTTAGTTTTTAAAACATTGAAGTTAAATCAGTTAGGAATATGTAATATTTCATTAATTAACAAACTATTTACTATTTGTTGTTGACCAACGGGGATAACGGGGGTATGAGAGCTTTGCTCACTTCTTTCTTGTTATACCTGGCTTCATTTGTATAGATGGACAGACAGACAGACAGACAGACAGACAGACAGGTTATCCATCATACATCCAACGTCCAACTGCCTATAGAGACTCATTGTGTGAAGTACCCACTATCACAATGTATGTGAGGGCTGTGGTAATGAATTTAGCACATCCAAGCTCTTAAGGATATGAAGAGAAGAGTTCATTCTATTCTTCTGTAACAATAGAAAAAGACTATATATATTACATATTTCTAAATTTGACACATCAGCGACAAATAGTATGCCTGATGCAATTCCCTATTTTGACTTGTACCATATGTTTGATGTAATTTCAGGTGAACAGTTGACTTGCCTTTTCATGTGTTTGTGATGAGTGCCACCAGTTTCAGGATATGCTCACCTTTTCGCAAAAACCCTGATATCATCACTATTTGACAGTGATTCATAAACACGTAGTCATGATCTAGTCGCAATCCTACAATGCACTCTGCTTTTATCAGATATTTCTTATTATTATGGAAATAGTTTTTGTCACTTTTATTTACAATGATTTGCAAAGGTTACAACAGTGGACCAAAAACAATTTATCTTAAAGAACCTATACAGGTCATTACTTTAAAACCACCAGCACTAGGTATCCACAGAGCTGCCAAAGAGAACAGTCAGCTCTTTCCGTAAGTACGTTAAATACAAGACCAGGTGGTGAGGTAGCTCAGTGGTTGCATGCCTGGGTGTCAACCCCTTCATGGGGGTCCCCTAGCTGCCATGATACTGCAGGAAAATACATGAGTACAAAACCCAACTCACTCACTCACTCTGGACAGTATTCGTGCAGATACCCAAAGCAAAATTACTAAATATTATACTACACAAAAGAAATTTAAGATCACCCA